AATTCTTTAAAAATCCTACAATGTGATTTTCTGGATTTTTTTTTCTCATTTTGTCTCTCATAGTTGAGGTATACCTATGATGAAAATTACAGGCCTCTCTCATCTTTTTAAGTGGGAGAACTTGCACAATTGGTGGCTGACTAAATACTTTTTTGCCCCACTGTATGTGGGGGCGTGTTCGAACGAGCCGTTTTAGGTAGGTGTGGCTAACTCTTAACTTTTATAAAGAATATCTCTTTGGATTTGAGACTTTAGTCTTTGCAACTTTACAGATCTTCTTTATGCACCAAGAGCTTGTAACACTCTAAAGAGAAAGGAAAAAATGAAATCGCATCATATGACCCCTTTAAATGAAACTCCTTATGATTCTTGCCAGGCAGGCAGTTTGTACGTACTAATTTGTGGATGTGAATTCTTACCCTCCGCTGTCTCTGAGGATCTTGATCTTAATGGCGGGGGCAGGCTGAGGTAGCTGAGAATGACATACTTGGTCTCATAGTGAAATCCTTCAGGCACTGTGGTGGAGGAGCCAGAGGCAGCCATTTAAGAGAAATGTCAGGCTCTCAGGGACATGCACGACCAAATGACTGTGTTCACAAGCCCTAGAACAAACAAACAATTTATAAGGCATTTATAAGTTAATCTTACAATTTGGGGAACTTCTGGCATCTGTTCCACTACGAAAAACAAAAGCTTTTTTTTTTTGTTAAGTATGTGAACATAAACTGTTGTTATAACCTTAAGACAACGACTTTCACCTGTGGAGAACAAAGATAGTAGGCAGAACAGTGACTGACTGACAGCCTCAGTCACCATTCACATTTATTGCAACCTTTTTTTCCATAAAATGAAAGTGACTGAGGTTGTCATTGAGCATAACATTCCCAGCATAAGTAAGCGATGACAGAAAGTTTATATAGTGGTGAATTATTTCATGACAACTCAGCAGCTTGTGTGTAAGCTGCCAGTCTGAAACAGAAACACAGATGTAACTAAAACGGTTACGTAAGATTATTTCACAAACCCCTTGACTGATAAGTGAATTCTTTCCATGCATGCAACACTACAAGACACCCAACTTTAAAGTTGCTCAAGTTTGTCTCTTGACCACTTCAAAACTGGACAGTTCCTGTAACACTGCAACGCACATTTCTGCTGGCAAATGTCCCGAAAGTGACGTGAGATATTTGCACTAACGAAGCCCGCCACATTTAATAGAACACGGTGTACAATGTAGCGCACGCGGACACCCACTGAACCTCTCTGCGTGCTCGCCACACCTACTCGCATGCCCGAGCAGCCAGCTAGCCGCTAAAGTTTAAACATAACCTGTTAGTGTCACTCATAACATAACATGCTATTCATTTAACGTGAACATGCTGCGACTTAACTTGAATGTGTCGTACCTCTGCGCCAGTGATAATTTTGTTCGCTCAGAGGGTCTAACAAATGTGCTCCCCCGGTTTCTTTCATAAACTGCCTTGCTTGTGGGATGGCTAACTGTTTAGAGTAGACGTGCGCGTGCGTGGAGCCCATGCCGCGCGTGTGCGGGAGGACGAAGTCAGGCTCGCTGCTCCGCCTTGATTGTATTCCTGATCCTATGACGCGGGGCGCGCGCGCGAGGACGTGGAAACGAGAAGGTCAAGGATAGAGTGGGGAACAGAACGGAGTCAGCACCCGTTCCATTTTTAAAGGGGTCATATGATGCGATTTCAAGTTTTGCTTTCTCTTTGGAGTGTTACAAGCTGATTGTGCATAGATAAGATCCCTGAAGTTGCAAAGACTAAAGTCTCAAAACCAAAGAGATATTCTTTATCAAAGTTAAGACTCTGCCACGCCCCCCTAAAACGGCTCGTTCTAACACGCCCCCACATACCTACCTCACTATGTGGAAATATTTGCATAACGCGCCCAAATGTGCACGCAAAGAAAGAAAGCGTGGTTTCACTAACCGCAGTTAGTGTTGAAGCAGCCATGTCAAGGAGACGCTGTGTGTTTCTAGGCGAAAGCAAAAGCACTATATTTGGCCTTCCGAAAGTAGATGCATTAAGATTACTTACAACAGAACAGCAATACATTTTATGGACGACCGTTTCGTGAACCTAGGAGAGGAGGTAATTCTGACTTTGCTATGACAATCAGGCGCTTCTGAATCAGCTACTGTTTTGTTATTAGCTTAAGTAAGTGCGTGTGTGTGTGTGCGTGCACGCGTGTGTGAGAGAGAGAGAGAGAGAGAGACAGGGTCACATCACAGTGGAGTCAGCTGTCTTAACCGTGGCTTGTGTACTGCAAACACATACCAGCTTCATCACTGTGTCTGTCACGCGACTCTGTTCCCCTTTCGGGCTCTGTCTTTACATTTATTTTGAAAGATGAAGCTCGCGATTATGGTAAGGGGCGTTACATTTCCGACGAGTGCTTGCGGTGTTCGGCCAATCACAATGCACTGGGTCAGCTGGCCAATCAGAGCAGACTGCGCTTGTCAGAAGGAGGGACTTTGTAGAAAACGAAGCGTTTGAGAGAGGCGGGGCATAGAGGACCTACAATAATGTACAGTATTTGAAAAATAATGTGTTTTTTGAACATTAAAGCATGTCAACATATTCTGTTACACCAAATACACAAAATAATGATCTTTAAAAAAGCATCATATGACCCCTTTAACAAAACGTATTTTCGTTTACGTTCAGTTCTCGAACGGGCAAGAATGACTCACACGTGTCGGCTCTTTTTTAGTGAATCACATCGCGTGATCAGTTCGATTCACGAACAAATGACTCTTATGAACCTGTTCTTCTCGAATCAACACACAACCGAGCGGTTATTGCTTTGATTAAACTTACTTATTTTGATTAAACTATTAAACATAACTTCCTACCAGTGACTGTTGTAGTGTTTTATTACATGATAACGTGAATATATACAGAATATCCTCTTGAGAACCATAAAAAAGTTTTGTGATTTTTTTTTTGTCATTACATTGGTTGAAGCATAAGAAACAAATGTAGAAAAAACATTTTTGAAAAAATATATTTTATTCTATGTCCTTGTAGAGGACGTCAGTACTAAGTTATTTTAAAAAAATAGACAGGAAAAGGCATGTATAGGCAAAAACAATGATTTTTTTTTTTTTTTCATTCACCAGTCTGTTTTTTTAGGTTTCAGGCTATTTTTAACTTTCAAACTTTGTACAAAGATGATTCTCAACTATTTTATGAAAGATATAACAGAATGATTTGATATACTATTTTACTTCATGCAATATGTGCGTAAAATATCCATAAATTGATATTCCCATGCATCTGCATATAATTTGCATATTAATGTGTTCTTGGGGCAAACCATAATGAAAAAAGAAGTGATATAATGGGAGTAATGACTTGGCAACATTTTCATAAGAATAACTCATATTTCATAGGAATATTGATCTATAGTTTATTTCCATATTGACTTGTTGTGTCTGTGTCTCCCCAAAAATGCCTGATTAACATGCCGTTTGTCCTGGTGTCCTCTACAGAAGACATGTATGAAAAGTATGCCTTGTTTCTTAACAAAAAGTCATATTCCGATTTGAAACGCAATAACATTTTTCTGAGATGTTTATTTATAACAATTTGAAAATTAGTCCGATTTAAATGATAATTGCAAACTATTATCATATTTCCCTAAGAGTGCTAAATTTGATGATTCTGTCAATATCAGTCATTTTTAAAGAACAAAGAGAAGGTGTGTTTATGATCAAACCTCCAAACATTTGATATCCCTGAATGTGCTCTGTACATCCAGACTTAAAACTGTGGCATGTATGGACTCAGCGAAATTCACTAAAATATAATGTCCTCTACAGAGGACAAAAGTCTATGCCTGGGTCCCAGGAGGATATGAGTTGTACTGCAATCAGTGGTAGGCCTATTTTAGGAATGTATGCAACATGAATGTATGCAACGTTATCACATTTTTTGTTTAATGTTTTTAAACTACTATGAAGTACTAATATTGAATTGCATTGCCTGTAAAAAGTCATTAAAAGTCAGTCTAAGTACACCTTTTTGTTCTGTTGCAGGTTTTTAATATGATGCATGGGTGTAAAGAAGAAAAAGAAATCAACGCTTTAAGTCTTCAAGAAAAAGGCTTTCTCTTACTAGCCAAAAACAAAACAAGATTTATTAAATAAAAACATCTGTGTCATATGCATGGATATGAAATCTTATATGTGCCCCAGAAGCAACCATAACGCAATCCAGTCAAGTGTGCACATGGCATTTAACTGTATTTGCTGCCCTCAAATGGTGCAAGACCTGAACATGTAGTTTTTTTTTCTCAAAAGCAAACTGAAACACTTTCACATTCATGAAAATTTACCAGCATATCAAGTTCACAAATACAAAATTAGACCATTCCATTTCAAACAAAGAACAAAACAAAAAGTTAAATGGTTATATAGGTAAATATCTATGCAAATATATTACATAATTAGACAATTTAAATGCAATAGTATACAATGTGATAATTATATATTATAAATATCTTTTTAGGGAATGTTTTTATAATAATTATATCATACACATTTATGTACTGAAACAATATCCTTTGAAGAGGCGGAATACATTACCATTTTCAAGCAATATATTGTTAAAGTTTGAGAACAATGCTAACACATAAAAAGGCTATGGTCTTTACAAATTAAAAGATATTTCACCATGTTTATCAAATGCTTTATGTTATTATTTTTAGGGAGAGACAAGGTATTTGAAATGTCCTGAGGGTGTCATCACTGAGCCTCTTTTTGGGGTAAGGGTCGGGGTGCCGTTTTCTGTTGTTCCTATTTCCATGTTTTAATTTATTTTCATGGTTCATTGTTTGATTATCAAAATTCACCTCAGCCTGTACAAAGATTGCACAATAATAATAATATGTCTAATATAATCTGGGTCTTATTTGGAGCCACTAGAAGAATGAATCAGAAAGGAAAAGCTTTATACCTTTATACTGACTGAATATCCTTCAGACGCAAAAAGTGTTTTCCAAAATAGTGATGTTTACTCAGTCTAGTTATTAATTGTTTGTACAACAGACATATGAAAAAATATCAGTTAACATGTCAAACATCTAAAGCAATTATAGTTTCTGATCTTTACTGGAAAATAGGACAACAAACTTTTACAGACAACTATCAAACATAACATACAAGTGAGTTTTATTTTAAATTACATAGTTTGTATTTACATTTCAAAATATGAAATACATTAAAGATAAGCATTCCTATGCTCAGAAACTAATAAATATGTGTGTTATGATGGGGAAAAACAGTAAGTAAATATGGTAAAACTACTTAAGACTTACAACAAATCTGCATAGTTTTGAAGTTGCTGGTCATTTGTGTCTGCCATGCTGAATAGACTTTTATCTAATTTGCCACAGAAAAGCAAAAGTTTGAGATGGGATCTTTACTCTGAAGTGCAGGAGTGGTGGTGTCATGACTGGGTTTTGCAGGTATGCACATCTACCTCCTCTTGGCAGTCCCTGCAGTGAACAGCACAGCACCAGTGGAACTTGCACTCACACTTGGTGGTGCGGCTCACGCGTGATGTGTCATAGCCCCGCCCACAACACATGACCTCACAGCTGTCAGCCCCACGGGACGTGCGGTTGCACACTCGCCCACCTGTGCCCACAGAACCTGCAATGAAGCAAAAATTTAAATGAGACATCATAGGTTTTAGTGAGATAAAACATGAACGGCTACATCAAAAATGTTCAAGGTATAGATCCTCGCTCAAATAACCATGTTTTTATGCCCCTGGGCACTGATGAAGTACACTAAATGACCTAAAGTAACCTAAAGGACAAAGTATGTCATTTAGCTAGACAACATGAGAAGCTTTGGTTAAAATTGCAAAAATGACAATTATCACAAAAGCATCAGTAAAAATGTGTTGAAAACTACAAACCAATCAGCAATGTTTTGACAATATCAATCATTTTCCAGCAAAAGTGTTTGAATTTGTGTTTTAGTGCAACACTGTTTTTCTCCCAGTCTTTACAAACACACAGTTGCAAAAAGATTTTTGTTACATTTTCTGTATTTTTGTCCCATTTTCACTCAAAATATGAAAACATACATAATATGTTAAATTTACTTAAAAAAGCAAAATTGTGTAACTTATTCAGACCTGTGCTTTCAGGATAAAAAACATACAAGATTATGTACACAATTTTGTGTAACATTATATATAATTAATATGCATGTATAAATATAATAAAATAAAATTCGATGAAAACGTTGAAATTGTTTTACAAATATTTATTTTAATGTGATACATTATTTAGTATTTTATATTTAATTTAAATTAATTGAAAAAATCTA